AGAACCAGAGAAGCCACTGAGTATCTAATCCAGAGTCCCAACAGGGATGACATTCATCTGGGAAGCCCAGTGTGACCTTCCAGGTTGCCACAACATGGCAATGCACCTGTGTCAGCCTATAGGCAGCTACGGGTGATCACACATGACATCCTGCTATGCCAGTCCTGGGTCCCCTCATCCAGCAACTACAAAAGCCATGGCCAAGAGAAGGCATCGGTTCTGCAGCTGACACCCAGCTTGAGTGCCACACTCTGGCTGACCCAGTTATCCATGTTTCAAGGATGCAACAGCTGCTTACAGAAAATGCTGTCCTACTGGTCTTCCCATTGCACTGATGCTGATAAAGCTTAACAGTGTACTAATTAGCACAGTAAACTCAGTGCTATTATAGAAAATAATTTTATAATGAGTAATGGGTGACCAGAAGTTAGACTTCTTAGAAGAAGGGGAGCCAGAAATCAACACTGAAGGATGAAGAGGAATTGATATGCAAAAGAATCCCAGGATGGCATTCCAAGCATAAAACAACAAAACAGCACAAAGGCTTGCAAGTAGATCATCACTGATACATTCAAGGTTGACTATAGCTTTCCACAACCTGGTACAAGAGAAAACCACAGATCTCCTTGTCTAAAAAGCAGGAAAAATGCTTTATCTTTTTTCCAGTGGTCTTTTTCCCAGCCTCTGAAGGTGGTTTTTACTTGTTTAATATTGTGATTCAGTGGACAAAGGATGACCTTCATGGTCCTCAAAGTGTAGGTGCCAGGCCCAGAGCAGGGATGGAGACAAAGGTAACAGGGAATCTTTTCCTAGAAAGAGGGGAGGCAGGTGTGAGACACATATAAACTGAGGCTCCAAATTCCCAGGACATGACCTACTTTCCCACTGTACTTTGTTTACAGCATACAAATTCAGAGGAAAAAAATTATTAAGAGTTCCAAGATGGCAACAACAGAGCATTAAAACCTGAGTGCAGAACCAGCTTCTCGGCACACAGCTCTGTATAGATGCCCATGGCTCCCAGGCCGGCTGTGACAGGGGGAAATGAACAGGCTTAAAAGGGAGCCTGGGAGTGACATGGGGAGTATGGGGCAGAAGTGGATAGCCATACCCTGCACACAGCCCTCAGGATAATTTCTGTTACACCAATCAAATACTTTCCAAACAAAAGTAAGCCACAGATGAAGTTTGTCTATGCCTTCAGAATCCTCCACTCAACTTGCTTGTCAAAAATACCAAGGAGATGGACCATTGTGAGATCCTGGGGCAGGTTTTTGGGCTCTGGATAGCTCTTTCCAACCCAACCTGTTCCCTTTCCCAACCCCCCTCCCAAATCACTGTATTTCAAGAAAGGATCTGATTGATTTACTAATAACTAAAGTAGTAGCCAATATATTTTTCCTCCCAAATAGAAACTATTTCCTATGCCAAATATTCTCTAACGGTAGCAGATTTATAAAATGAGAAGAGGCCCTATTGATAGTAGCACAAAAAGGAGCACAGGAAAGCCTGTGTACCGGAGGAGTAAGGATTCCCTCCAACCAGCTTCTCCACCTCAGCAAGGCTAAGAGCTGCCTGCACTCGCTGCCTCCTTCTTAACCTTCCGAACATGCTAAGCCACAAAGCATAGATTCTCTGCAAACCTAGAAACTGGCTCTCAGAAATGGCTTAATAGAATTTCTCAGCCACAACATTTCAGAAAATGTGAAATTGGATCTTGATCACTGGGATCTTGGCATCATCGTTAAGTAGAACAAAGCAGACAGACATCTGTTCTGTCTGGGCACATGGAGAGCATACTAATCGTCCTGCTATGGAATACAAGGCCTGGCCTTGGACAGCCACAGCCAGACAGGAGCAAAGGTGTTCACCATTGAGGTGCCCAGGGATTGCAGGCTTCATCCTTCATGGAGTGAGTCCTTTCTCCTTCACTTTGTCTTACAGATCTGGATCCCAGGAACTAGCCTGGGAGCTGAAGCTGCAAGCTGAATCTTGTACTGTTCACTCCCCAAACTGTCATGATGCCTTCTTCTCTCCTCCAGAATTCTTGTCCACCTGCCAAAGCCCAGCTATGAGTCCACATCACTCATTGACTAGTTGACTTATTTACCAACAATGAATAATCTTTAAAAATCAATGTGCTTGTTAACATATGGAAATCAAAGTATACTGTAAACACATCCTTTCTTTGGAATGCTCACAAGCCTTACTGGAAAGAGCAAGTAGATTTACAAATCATAACATAAAGAGGAGGAAAAACCTACCAGTATCTTTAAGACAGATACCACTGGATATAATAGTGATCAACATAAAGAACAACAAGTTACATTCAAGCATGTCAAAGAAGAGCTCACTGGGGATGCTGACACTGGAAGCACTGGCAGCAGGGAACTAGTTACAGGGGAAAAAATAGAGAGATTCATGTGTGAAGAACTCCAGATAGGTTCAGTCTGATGAGAAGTGGGTATAAAGGGAAGTCATAAGATAGGAGGGTAGGACGGCAGTTTGTGGTCAAATCACAGCACCCTTTCTGAAAAATAACCCAAGAAACAACCTCCTCTGACCCTTGTGCTGCACCTTTTTTTTTTTACAACATTTCTGGTTTTTAATTTGCTCTGTGTGCTCCAAATGGCAGACATTCAACCTATGTGTGTTGAATAATGGATTAATAAACTATTCATTGTTAAATGTCTCCATACAATATAACCCAGGAAAATTGTGTGTACTGTGGCCCAAGTCAAAGTTTAGCTGTTTCCAAGTAATCATTTCTGTCACTTAATGTTTGCAAAATAAATAAAAAGAAACTACAATTTGTGTAAAGCAAGATAATGGTGATGATTCACATGGCAAGAACATTCACGTGTGTCTGAGTATGTAAACCATACCTTACTCTATCTCACTAATTAAATGACTTTGGGTTGAGTGAAAGCAAAGGCAAATGTGCTCACGGATTTGGAAGAACTGTGTTTCCTCTATTCTCCTGGATAGGCATAGGCCAGAAATGGCACAGTTACAAATGAGTCTGGCAAAACAAGAAATAAAGCAAATGAGAAGTGTCTGAGAAATTTAGACTTGAGATTACAAGTTGAAAATACTCATAGATTCTTACAATGCTTAGGTAAATAATAGGAACAAAACAACAATAATAAAAATAATACAACTCTACAATGTATAGCGTACTTACTATATATCAGATATTGTAATAGATGCCGTATGAATATAAACTTATTTAATTCTTATTATTGCCCTATGGAGCAGGTATTATTATAAACATTTTGCAGATGAAAGAAAACAGCCTATAAAAGTGGCAAAATAACTTGAACAGAGTTGAATAGTTAGCAAGTAGCAAGATTAAAATTCAAGTCTGTCTGATTTTAAGTCTTAACTAGACTACATTTCTAAGTAGAAAGATACCTTAGCAAGACAGATCAGGACAAAGCTAAGCATGGTGGTCCATACCTTAAGTTCTACCATTCTGGGAGGCTGATCCAGGTGGATCTCATCCTGGGCATTTTAGCAAGAATGAAATACTGCCTCAATGAAAAAATGTAACAAAGGGGTGAGGTGGAGATCAGTGTCAAGGCCCTGGGTTCAATACCTAAGAGACTGAGAGAGAAAACTGTGAAGGGAGAAAAGAGAAGGAAAGAAAGCACAGGGCACTTACTAGGCACCAACATATACACAGAAATTATCCACGCCTCTACAGCCCCCCGAGTTTTGCATACGTGCTGATCTTTATGAATTTTCAAGGACAAGGACACATACACACTCTAAGAATGAGTAGGTGTTCACCTGACCCACACACTGGGTGTGAGAAAAGCAAGCTAACAAGGAACATCTCAAAACTCATGAAAAGTGCAGATTGGGAAGGGAAGAAGAAATAATTGGCACCTACAGGCTTAAGTGGTGTTGAAGAGGGCAGGGGCTGAGTTGTGAACCCAAGGGACAGGGAGCACAAAGCTATCCATGACCTCTGTGGCCTTCTCAGCAATTGCTCAGCCTCTGCTCCGCTGTGCTCTGCTCTTTAATAAGAGCAGAGCTGCTTTGTAAGCTTTTGCCTGAACTTCAGTTTGAGGTGAGGAAATTACCCAGCAAAGCATCACTTATGCCTTTAATCCTCTCTAGGAGGTCGACTTGTAGCCTGCAATCCACTTCTCACGTTTAGTAGTTGTGTGACCTTCAGCAAGTAATTGTGTGTCTGCTGTGGGGATTAAGTGATCTAATATGCACGTAGTAAATATATATGCGAAGTACCTAATGCAATGCCTGGCAGAGGCTAAGCACTGCCACTATTATTTAGCATGGCCAAGCATACCGGAACGCTCTCAGTAAAGTGACAAAAGGCCTCTTACCAGGGTCTGCACAGAGCATCCTGCAGCGGGGGCTACTGTACCTGCACACTAGCTTGCCTGTTTCAGCGCAAGCCTGTTTCTGAGACCCTAGAAGGGTTTTGCCTCAATGCATTTCTGTTTTGAATATCATTCTGTAATTCATTTCCCTAGTCTCTCATTTCAGCCATGCAGTCTGCTTGGCGTTGGGGTCAGGAGAGAAGTCAAATTTAGGCTTAGGGTTAGCGATACCCAAGGCCAAAGCAAGAGAAGGTTTGGGCAGCTGGACAGACCTTAGCCAGCCTCGCCTCTTGTCCCTCGCGTGACAGAAAACAAGGACAGGCGCCTCTGCACATCTCAAACCAGGTGACGGTGGAGGAGACACGCAACAAGTCTGTACGCCTTCCCATTCATTTAGAAAAATACTATGAAGCCCGAAACCGCTTGTGCAAAAAAAGAAACCAGTGCGTAAACAAGGTGCCCAGGCCTGGGGAGCTGCAGAACAGCCTCGCTACTGATATCCGGAAGTGGGGGAAATGGGGAGGGCGGGGCGCCTCGGGCCCCGCCCAGCCTGGCCGGTCCACTCTGGGCCCGCCTACGCACCCCCCCTGCCGGCAGTCAGGCCCCTCCCCTTCGGTGGCAGCGGCTGCGCGGGCACGTGGGCGCCAGTGTCAATCACGTGCGGGTTGGGCTCCGCGGGGCGCGAGCGGCGGGGGCGGCGGCGGTGGCGGCGGCGGCGATGGGACCCCGGCGAGAGATCTGCGGCTAGACTGGCTGCACTTGCTCCACGGGTCAGGGGATCGGAGGGGCAGGTAAACTGTGCGCAGCCCAGGGCGCTTCCGAGTTCCAGGTCTTTTCCCAGCTCGCCAGATCGCCCTCTCTTCCCTTCCTTCTTTGCTTTTCCTTCTTCCCTCCTCACTCACAAATATTCTTCTCTGTCTCTCCCTCTCCCTCCCAGCTCTGTCTTGTCCATGTTTATTCTATGCACATATATCTCTACAAAAGCCATGCACATTGCCATCCGTGAAAACATAATAGGGGTCGCTAACCCCATGCTTTGGTGGTTTGTGATTTGTGTTATGTAAGAATGTGGTGGGGGGCTTGCACGTCTAAAAACTTAAGAGTTTCCTTCCTGGGAGAAAAGAAAAGTTCTACATTAGGTAAGACTAAAATGGAAAGTATATTTGGAGTATGCAAAGCTGATTGACTTATTTCCCAGACTGAATGGAACCCCCGCCTAACCCTCCCCAGTTCCGTGCCATGTCTGAAGTTCTTTAACCGTTTGGATCTCAGAAACTACTGCTTTGTGTTGTGAGAAAGGGCCTTTAGGTAGGGGTCAGGCCAAGGTTAGTGACCTTAGAGAACACAGTTGGAGTGGAACAGACAGGGTTTGCTTAATTGGTTCCTGGCTGTGAGCGGAGACGTCTTCAGTACCTTGGAGAGCTCTCTGGTCTCCAGACTGGCCACCGCCACTGCTGAAGGCTTGAGTGCAGTAACTTCCTTCAGACAAAACCGGGAAGGCGACAGTTAACAGAAGGGACATTTAACTGAAAGAGGCAGAGAGAAGGGTAGAGACAGGAGCAGGCCAGAAGAAAGGGGAAAGATAACAGAAAGAAGAGAAGGTGGTGAATGGAGTGATACAGAGTCGCCTTACTTTCTTATATTTATCCAGAACCAGACTGTTAATATCCTTTCCCACATCTGCTCATGTATCACTCAAACTTTGAAGACAGAGGATTAGGTCTTGAAGAAGGCTTAGGTCTGCTCTATATAGACTGACTCTGGACATCCTAAAAACAGTACATTTGATCTCTGCTGGGCTAACTTACCCTGACACTTTGAGTTCTGCCTAAGAATGAGGGTCTGTCCTCCAGAAAGAATTTTAAAAAATCTCTCACTTTCTCTCCAAATACGGCCCTAGCCATTTTATTTCACAGAACTAGAGTAATGTAGGAAGATATAGCTGGCAATGGCTTCTTAATTAAATTTTGCAGGGGAACCTGTTTTTCTTAGGCACATAGGAAGTAAATTGATCATGATAGGGAAAAAATGGATATAGGAGTAAAATTAAGTCTAATGAAAAAATTGTCCAAAAATCCTTATTAAAGATATAACACATATAAATATCAGAGAACACAATGACAATGAGACTCATTTATTTTACAATATAATGGAACAAGCCCCATAAAACTCAATTCTGGAATATCTAGTAAGCTAATATCTTTCTATTTTGAATTTGTAGAATACAAATAGATCATACCATTAACTAAATAGGACCTAGTTACATCAAAGTAAAAGTAGCATTTATATCATGTGCTATAGTTTAGAAAACCCTTTTGACTTGTCATCTCATTTACTCTGCAAATTATAACAGAAGTCATTAAAACTTTATAAAATGTAAGTTAGACTTGTTTTTTATTTTCTACTGTTTGCTTTTCTACTCTTAAGCAAGAAACTGTCAGTATTTTGTCAATATTAAGTGCTTTTTGTAGGACAGATTACAAGCTTATGAAATTTAGATTTTGATTTGAAGCACATCTGCAGAACTTTTTGTCCTTAAATAGGGTTGAAGAATGTCCTGCTGAAAAGAACAGTTAAAAAGTAAAGAACCGCAGAGGACAAGGAGTTCAAAGGTAAGCCTTCACCTTACCACATGCAGAAACCTAAGGACCTGTGGTTTCCATGTAGAAATAGAGATTTGAAAAGAGAATATAGGTTCTTTTTCTCATCTCATGTTTGCTTTGGACTTTAGTTATGTTGACAAAAATGTATATCTTGAATTACAGTAGTTACTAATGAGTAAGATAATTATGCATCATTACTCTGCCTGTACAAAATAAAGATAGCTACTCTCTAACTTGGCATTTTTTAAAAAACTGATACTACAGAACCATGATTACTACATCTATGATAGATAAGTAAAATCTCTCTGAAGTGATCCACTGGTAGAAGAACATTTCAGGTTTTAAAATGAGGCCAGTATAATTCCCAGATGCCTGGCTGAGAAGTGAAGAAGCTGTTAGCAGTTTCTTGTGCCTTCCTGTGTCCACAGTGGACCCAGTGGAGCCTGTTAAGTGCAGTGAACTTGGTTCAGACTTGGATAAGTGGCCTAAATGACTCACGTGCCCATACCTTGTGTCTTGCAGTGCTGGCCCTGTGGAAAAGTGGCCCTAATGGGAACTTCACTCTCATTATCTCAGAATTGTTTTGAGGGAGAGAAAAGCAATATGAAAAATTGAAGAATATTTCAGAGTGAATAAATAGAACAGGGCCTGGGCCTGGTCCCACAACTGACTCATACATAGAGCCTTGGGAAAACACTCATCCTGTCTGTACCTCAATTTGCTGCCTCGCGTCTCTTAAGGAGACCACAAGGACAAATAATGTAATGTCAGTGGTGTTCTTAGAGTCTCGTGAGGCATAAATACTCATTTCTGTTTTCATGACTCTGAGTGTTGTTAAAGTAAAAATCAAACTGCATGTACTGTATTCAGTTGAAGTTCAGATTTCCAGCACATTAATACCACAGTACATTGGTACACATAGTGATCACAATAGCACACATATGGGTTTGTCTGTCTGGTAAAGCAGTTATTCAAAGGAGTCTCAGCATTTGACCTCTCACCATTTTGGTACATTTATAGCTTCTTGAGTGTATCTCTAACCCAAGAGTCAATTTAAGGGACCCTATGTCCTCACTGAACTTTATAACCATTTTCCCCTTGGTGATTTAAGTGAAGATTCACTTTAAAAGAAAGTGTTAAAAAAAAGTAAAAAAAAAAAAAAAAGAAAAAGAAAAAAAAGAAAGTGTAAGCTACTCATTAGGTAAGTTACTATTAAGTATTTATGTTAAGAATGTTGGTATGCTGTTTAACATATTACTTTAGTATCTGTTGCCCAAAATAGCAACTCCTGGGGTCATGCATATTCCCAGAGACAGTTACTTGGAATTCACTTCTGTGTAGGCACCATCCCACACATAGCAAATTCTGCAGAAACATTGAAGGAAAGAATAAAAGATGAAGGATTACTACCCAGACTATCATCCTCATCAGTCCTGTAAGACTCTGTGCAAGGAAGTTTCAAAGTTCTGGAGATTAAAGACATGAACAAGACAGAAAAATCCCTACCCCTCATGGAGCTTATACTCTATCATGTGTATGTTCTATTAGACTGATACCCTTAGAGTATCAGGTAGTAACAAATGCTATGAAGAGAAACAGATTTGGATGAGAGGATGGAGAGCAATGGAGCCCTGATATTGAGATATTCTGTTTGCAGAAAACCTCTCAGAAGAATTTAGGAGGAGCCCTCACTGTGATTTTCTCCTTCCAGGGGTCTCTGGGGCCCAGTAGGTGTGCCACATTACTAAGAATTGGTTATACATTAAAGGTACTGCTGTGCCTGAAAGTGAAATATTTGGGATAGGCAGATAATAAAAAGAAGGAATCTATGGATGGACCCTGCTTTAGCTCCTCGAAAAACCTCCATAGAGAATAAAAACAGCTTCTCCTTCATAGAGACAGAACCCCCTACATGGATATTTGTGCTGCACCATGATCCCAGGCCCTCTGGGAGGATGCAGCAGGCTCCAGTAAGCAGCTCTAAGATGTGTGCTGATACAGACACTTCTAGGAAATGCTAGTCACCCTCCAGTCATGTAATTCCCTTGGATGTTAAGGTTTTTCCTAAACAAAGCAGCCTGCTAATATCTGCCATTAACTACAGTCATGGGTTTGCCATTACTGGTAGAGCTGCTGCTGCCTAGCCATGGAAACACAGCCTCCAAACTCTAGTGGATCCTTGCTCCACAAGAAAACGCTGACCATGTTGAAAAGCCTTTGCCTGGCCTTCCTCATATGTCTCAGGCTAGTTTACTAGGCACCATGTAAGAATTGCCCGCCTCTTAAAGTGACTGTGAAGTGATCTCATGCTTCCCCTTGATGACACCAGAAGTGGCAGTCGGCCAAGAATGGTCAAAGTATAATATTCTCCATACTGGGACAAAAAGCTTCTGTTGTAAAAATTCTGTTACTGTGCAAAACCATTACTCTAACATGTTGTATTTTAAAATCCATATACTTAAAAGTGTTCATTTTCCTCCAGGACTGACTCTCAACTAGTTACATCTTTGGAAGATGTATGAATCCTCTCAGATACACAGGGATTGCTATTTTAGGTCACATCCTGATACTGAAGTTATGTCTTTAAGCAGCATACAAACATTCACTCTACTTAATAACAAATAACTGCCCTAACTAGTAGGCTACATTTCTGTTTAAGTTGAAGCTTCATACATACTTGAGCTAAAAGTTTGGAACTGACAGTCACTGAGGATGCCAGAGGAGGTGGGAAATCAGTTGTTCATCCAACATAAAGTAACTGATACATCCTGTAGTTCTGTAGCAAAAAGACAAATCCTAGAAGACTACATTGGAAAGGAATTAGAGATCAGTCTGGCCCAATCATTTTGTTTTAAGGGCAATGGAATCATAGCCCAAAGAGATTCATGAGCTTCTCTGCAATCTCATGCACCATAAATTGCATATCAGAAATTGGCTTTCAAGTCTATTCTGTGCTCTATGCATTAGCCCAAGGCAGGCCATGTTCTTGTTCCTGCTCTGCACCCTGAAGAAAAAAGTGAAGCTCCTCAAGATTCCTCTTCCTGAATTACCCAATATCAAATGCTATTCTGACTTAGTGTATGGGCTCAGGCTCAGAAACATTTGTTTTGTGATGTTTTCTATGTGTTTTTCATTTTACCCATGTGTTTTAAAGTTGAACTACTAACTCTCAATTTACAAAGCTAAAGAATTTCACTTAGTTTGCTGGAAACCAGCTGTGCAGAGATTGAACACCATGTGTCAGTAGATGCGTGTTGGAGCTCTGCATTAAAGCCCAGTCCTGAGGAAGCTGGACCTTGGTGCTGAGGGAAGACAAGTCCCACTATTGCCACGAGGGGTGTTTTTATCCCCATTTCTGTTCTTTTGTCATGTTAAAGTCTCTAATGTTTAAAAGAAAAACTTAGCACACACACACACACATATATATATATATATGAGTTGGTTCTGACTATGCAAGTATGTGATTCAGTCCTTGTTCCTGCTTATTATATTAATTGTCATCTTTCACCCCCTCCCTGACTCACAGCTTAACCTTTAACAAAATGATTTTTCCATGCCTCAGTTTCCTCAATGACAAAGCAGTTAGTAACACCAAGGGCATCTTCCCTTGAGTGAATCTTTTTGTTAGAATACCTTGAAGGTACCTTTTAAATTATTCTACTTACATATCGCTGGTAATAGGCTCTTATTAATCATCTTCATTGTATAATAATTAAACAGAAAGTACTGAAGAGCTCACCTTGGCACTCAAGAAAACAAGGTAACAGTCTTTTGATCTGTCAGAGGTTGCTGCTCTAATCAGCCAAAGTACATGCTAAAATCTTGACTTCTTGTGAAGTAATACTCTTCTGAATGCTTAAAAGGTCACCAAAAAAGGTACTTTAGCCTCTCCTTCTGTCTCTTCCTGGGCTATTTCTCTAGATGGCAGCTCTACCTGGAAGAAGAAGGTACAGTCACCCTATGTCACTCTGACCAGCAGCTAAAAAGAGGGGGCAATTGGCTACCAACAGTCTCACAAACTTACATCATTGTTGTTAGATTAGGACCCCATTATCTTGAATTTGACTGCCTTTCTAACCATTTGTGGCCATAGGTACACAATTATGAGATGTTCTTAGGGGTTCAGTGTGTGCCCACAGGACAGGGAAAGGTTTTCTGTGCTGGTCCCATGATTCTGTCCAACCAAAATAAGTGGCCATGCTGGGATGTTTGATAGAACCATCAGTCAGTGTTTTCACTGACTAATGAGCATTCCTAGTTGGTTTCTTGTTTACCTAATTGGAAACACTTAATATATTTCTGTTGGCCTAGATTATAGCATAATCCAAGTTCAGAAAACAGAACACACAGGATAGACCAAAATTACTTCCCCCTCAATTATTCTTTCTTCTTTAATCATGAATTATTAATGAAATATGTAGAAATGCCTTTCTTTAGTGGTGCCAATTGCATCCAGTCAAGTTGAAATTTCCATCTTAAAAAAGGTAAAAGCCCCAAGCAGCCCACTCAGAGAATAGCTTCCTTCAACAACTTTCCTACCTCTTTTTTTATAGTAGGCACCATGGAAAATACTAAAAGACTGGATCTGCACTCTCAATAGCCTGCTTGACACCTATGTGGACAGATGATAATTGAGACATATGCTGTTAGAATTAGTACAGTGTAAATTATTGGCCTGACCATTTGCAATTAGTAAAGCACGAAGCTTAAGTTGCTCAGCAGTTTTTAAATACATGAGATCTGAAGGCAAATCTCAATCTTCTCAGAGTAATCCAATGTGGATTCCACAAGAGGTCATGATTAAAAATCTGAGAGTATCTCTTTGAACCTTCAGCATGTAAAGACTTCTTGTCAAAGCAATGAAAACCTCCACCCCCTTTTTGCAATCTCTCATGTGCCTCATGCTTATATTTTTTGCATAATTTAAGTCACCAGTGCTGTTGTGTCCCATTTCATTTATAGAGAGCCAAAGTGCTTTTTTCTCTTATGAAAGGTGCAGCAAGCTCCCATGAGTCAGCCTGGTTTTCCACACTTAATATGTCTTCTGATGCTCAAGCCAGAGCCCAGGGGGCTGATCTATCTGGATGCTGTCTTTCCAGCTGGGAAGAATGAGTTCCTGTAGCAACATCTGTGGGTCCAAGCAAGCACAGGCGCCTGCCGAGGGTGGGTACCAGCGCTATGGTGTGCGGTCTTACCTGCACCAGTTCTATGAAGACTGTACAGCCTCCATCTGGGAGTATGAGGATGATTTCCAGATCCAGAGGTCACCTAATAGGTGGAGCTCGGTATGCTGGAAGGTGAGGAAAAAGCACTTGTTTTGAATATTGGATGTGGTAAATACTGCTGATACAGAGAACTAAGTGGTTTGGTACTGTGTGTGTCACTCATGGTGACCCTGAATGCATATTTCTTCCTTTAGGAAACGAGATGCTCAGCCTTGGATCAAAGTATGCCTCTGTGCACAACATAATTGCTGTTGAGCAGGTTAAACATGAGTAGGCACAATTGCCATGGTAATTATTATTAATATTGCTAACGTTATTCATGTGCCACTAAATTCACCAACCGTGAAACCACCCATAAGCAAATACTCTAGCCTACCTTACAAGCTTGGTAGGTATCATTTGACAAATTGCAACAGTTATTAAAAAGAAATAATTAGGTAGTTAGAGAAAGAAAATATTAAAACATGGTAGAATGATCAGAGTACCAGCTCTGTGATCTGCAGCTTTCTAAGGTGCCCATTAAACAGTGGATTCGGTCTGTCAGCAAATAATTAGTGAGCACACACTGTGTGTCAGAGAGCTTGGGTAGCTGGAGATTAAAGCAGTAAATAGGAGAAGAAAAGGTCCCTGCAGTCTATCCTGAAAAACTCCATAAATAGATAAAGTCCACAGTGCAAGATCAGGGAGTGTCAAGCGCTAGAAAGGGAAATCAGTCAAGATAAGAGGAAAGAGAATGATAGGGACCAGAATTTGGATCTACTGAGGCTAGAAAGCCCTTGGAAGAGATAGTATAGGGAATATGAACATATTCCAGGAGGAGAAGAGGGAGAAGACCCTAAAGTTGTCTGGCTGAAGGTCATTCAGGCTAAGAAAATAGCAAGTCCAAAGTATCTGAAGGGGATGAGGAAGAGATCCAGTCTACATGGAATGGAGTAAGAAAAGAGAGAGGCAGTGAATTCAGAAAAATACCTATCAGGCATGGGTGATTTCTGTAGCATCTTCGAGACATCAGTGAATACTTGAGATTTTACTTCAACAGACATGTGAAGCCACCCAAAGACAAGAAAAAAAGCACAACATTGATACTTTAACAAGATATTTCTGAATACAATACAGAAAATAAAGTACAGAAGAGCAAAAGTCAAAGCAGCCAAATTAATTCAGAGGCTGTTAAAATACCCAGGAAGAGATAATGGTGGCTTAGATGAGTGGTTTAAGTGGAAAGGTGGAAAGTAATCAGTTTATCATGAAGTTTAAAGGCAGAGCTTCCAGGATGTGCTAATGAACTGGGTTTGGAACACAAGAAAAAGAGGACTCAAGCATGAGTCAACTTTCAGCCAGAGCTGTGTAATGAATAATGTTGTAGTTTCCTAGGATAGATAGGAGACCAGGAGAAACCAGGTGTGTGATTCTGGCTATGCGTCATTGCAGGTGCATGTTAGACACCCAAGTAATGCTTTCTAGATGCCATTGAATATATCAGTATGCATCTCATGGAGTAAAAGCTAGTGATAGCTAGAATGTGTCAGACTAATTGAGACCATCTAGGAAGAGAGTGTGGACATAGAAGATATATAAGGTAGATATTAATTTTGATATAAATGTTATTCTTAAGTGCTATGGTCGCTGACATTCAGAATATTCATGTAGACCCAAAATATCGATGGTTGTGTGATTGTGAAGCTGTTAAATTCATCAGTGCCTAGCTATGAAATTCCCAATAAATCACCAATTATCCCATTCAGATTTTAATATTTTCTCCCTCCTATTTTACACAAATAATTTCCAAAAGTATTTATTTCCTGTAGCACTGGACTTGTGTCAGGGAAAAAAGTCCAAAGTTTTCACCCTCAAACACTCCAAGAAAAAACAAGTTTTGATCTATATCCTAATCATTAACCACTAGTACCATGGTGTCAGGCTGGGTAATCTAAGGACCAACTGTCTTGGAGATCTTTTCTCCAGCAAGGAAAGAAACTGATGGTTCTTCACTTCTTCCTTGGGATTATGTGTGAATTCATTCCAGTGGTTTACAATATGCTTTGCAGCAACAGAGAAAAAAGAACAAGTTATGTATTTTCTACTGTGACTCTTTTTAATGTTTTTCTTTCATTTCACATTGCATCTGTAAGTGATCGGAGATACCAGTGCCCCTTTCCTCTCTTCCCCTGTGACTGGGTGCTAGAGTCTTTGGTCTGTTCTTGGGCACTGAGTTCACAGCACCTTAGTAGGACTCTGCCCTTGAGCTCCTAACTAACGGACTTGATGAGAACAGAGATTGGGGTCAAACGGGCCTGAGTTACTCTGGCTCCCTATCAAAGGCTTCTACAAAACACCTGTCTCAAAGTACCATTTTTTCTACATGAGCTTAACTCTTCACTAGGCATTAGAGAATGCAAGGCATATCTTTACTTCTAATAAGTGATTTTATTAAGTGACCTTATTAAGTGATTTTATTAAGTAAAATAGAAGAAGTGAACAGAGATTGTTGTAATGCACTGTGCTGACTGCTGTCCTCAAAGTTGTCACGGTATTTACTGGGAGCCAAGGAGGGTTGAAGGAGAGAGAGGAGTGCATGCCTGGTGCAGCCTGACGAGGAAGTGGCTCACAGAGCTGACCTCATGCTCACAAGCATAAATTGATGTCCCAGAGGAAAGGAATGTCATCCCAGCTTAGGGTACTGGTTAAGAGAGTCAGGCACATTTGGAGACTATAGATAGTGCTGCACAGCTGCAGTAACGGTTTACAGGTTTGGGAAGAGCATCAGACATGGACTAGAAATGCAGACAAGAGCCAGGTCACAGAGGGAATTTGAAAAGCCCTCCTTTAGAAATGGCTCCTAAACTCTCAACTTGAGTACAGTGAGGGTTAAGATAATAAATTTGGACTTTCCTGGAAGTGTCAGAGAATACCTCATAATCTGGTGTCAACAGAGAGAGAGAGAGAGAAAGAGAGAGAGAGAGAGAGAGAGAGAGAGAGAGAGAGAGAATGTGTACTGCCTCAGCCATTTCCAGTTTAATTCCTGTTCCTAAGGTGCTTCCTTCTGTGAAACACTGGGATTTGGTTGTGTCTTCCACTCATTATTTCTGCCCAAGCTCAAACAGACTAGGGTGGATTCCTTCCTCTCTTTGCACTGGGTGTTGACTAAGGCCATCGCCACTAGACACTTGATTGTCCATGCAGCACACAGCCTCTACCTACAGGTACCAGCCCAGTCTTTTCACCTCAGGAAAAAAAAGAGCCGTCCTTCCTCACCTTAGCATCACCCTCCTCCTTTCCTTCCCTTCGTGCCATCTCAGAAGTGACTCAGAGATGCTAAAGAAGACTTAAGAAGAGAAACCATGGGGTCATCATCATTTTTTTTTTGTTTTGTGGTGGTTTGGTTTGCTTTGGCTTGACTTGGTTTGGTTTGGATTGACTTGGTTTGGCTTGGCTTAGTTTGGTTGTAAGGTACTAGGTATTCAGCCCAAAACCTTCATAGTGAGCCACACCTGACCCATTTTTAAATTCTTTTGTTGTTGAGACACAGTCTTGCTAAGTTGCTAATTTTCCAAGGCTTGTTTTTAACTTGCAGTCCTCTCGCCTTGGCTCCCAAAGGGCTGAGATCAAGGCATACACCACCATGCCCAGCTTACCTCAGATGACACTTGAAGAAAGGTCTTAGAAGTCTGGGAGCTTAGGAGGCTGAGCATTGAGTGAACTAAGTTGGATGTGAGGATGATTTGTGTCACTAAAGGAGTAAAGTAGAGGAAAAGAAAAATCTAAGAGAATCTTCAGAAGTAGAATCAATAAGATTTAATGACCTGCTCCCTGGGAATGTGAGGGGAGACTGTGTCTGGGTGACTGGAAGGATCACTGAGAGATAAGAAAGAGGCTCCAGGTCCCATTTCAAATATTCAGGTTCAAGGAGTCTGGGACTTCTACCAGTCCCCCCACTCCCTGACGGATATGTGGTCTAGAACACAAAAGAGCAGGCCAGGCTGGAGCTGGAGATTGAGAAGTCATAGGTAACAGTAGTTGTGAAGCCACAGCCCCAGGTGACCACTGGACAGAAGGGATCTCTGGCAGGTGGAACAGCAGATGGGAGACACCACTACCTAGGTGGAGGAAGACTGGGGAACTGAGTCAGGTGTGGCCAGGACCCAGACCTCAGCTTTCATAAAACTCGCTGCCATCACTGCAGCAGATGCCACTACTCAGCTCACAGCCTGCAAAGAGGTCACAAGCAGCCAGCAGAGCTGATGCAGAAGCAGCATCCAGTCTTCACTCTCAAGGCACTTCCGTTGAATAACCTCCAAGCCAGATGGCCGCTATTCCAGCCCCATCCAGCCTGTCCCCACAGGCAGCTCTTCCCTTCCTAGTAATTCCCACTTCCATAAGTCATTACTGCTCTTCCATGCCAGAACAGCTGTGCCTGCTGTTGCTGGCTTCACTCATCTTGCTGCAGTCAGCTCATTCCCAGACCCCACTAGCCCGCTGAGGACCAACAGAGACATCCTGATCCAAATAACCACCATCTCTGCTTGCAGGCCCAGCAGAAGGATTTCAGGAAACTGAGTTCTCTTCCCTATCCAACCCTTCTTTCCATGGGCAGGGACTGAGTTTGCATATAACCTCTGCCCAGGAGAGACTCACAAGTCACAGCCTCAACATTGTACCTGAATCTGCTTTGGAATTTGTCATGTCCTGGCAAGGTCCTTCTGGCTCGTCATCAGGCTTGACCTCACTACATTGTTCCAGCCCCTTGACATGGCCCTGCAGAGAGAGCTGTTTTGCCCTCTTAGCCTTTTAAATTATCTCCCTTGAGCAGTTTTATTTACTCCCATTTTAGAATAGCCTTCCTCCTATTAGACCCAAGGTTACTTCAACTTAGTACAGTGTCTGAAGATAATTTTTATGATCCGCAAGGGAGTCACTCTCCAAGTCTTTATCTCTCCCTCAATTCCATCATGGTGCCTGGATTAAGCTGGTGCATCCCAACTTCCCTCTTCACCTCCACAGTGGACTCAGGAAGATTCAGAAGCAGTCTCCTTGTCTGCATCCCTCATGCCTACCACCCCAAGCTCTCCCCA